TATTATTTTATGAACCTTTGCCTATAGTTTTTCAGCTTTTATTGTAAATTTAATAATTTTTACAACTTGTCACACATGTAATGGCGGTTTTCCACTAAACGGACAAAACAAAAACATAACACAAACATGTGTCGAGAAAAACGACTGGCGTGTTTTGCGACAGTTGCAGTTTTGTTTCTCGAGTCCTTCTCGGAAGCGGTAACATCAAAAGATTTTGACGTGTTTTGAAACTCGAGTTTGTTTACTGGAAACGGTCGTGTTGAATTTTGAACCAACTTGGTACCTGTAAGTAAGTTAATATCGTGTTTTTTTTTTTGTAGATAAGTAATTAGTAATAAGTAATTTATTTTTGAGTGTCAGAGCCAAATATTGTCCATTTTGTTTTTATAATATCACATACATCTTTTAAACTACTTTTAAATGTATTTTCAATTTTGACCTATCTTAAGAAATAAATAGGTATATAAATACAAATAAAATATTTAAAAAATGTGTTCTGGCTTCCTTGCAACAACCAGTGGAAAAGGACTGAAAACAAAAACAAAACTGACAAAATGTAGTCCGCTTGAGGGAAACAAGAGTTTTGGGTTTGTCTCAGTTTTGTTTTTTGTTTCTCAAGTTTCAGAAATCACAAACAAAACATAAACTCAACTGTCCATTTAGTGGAAAACTGTCTTAAAATAAAAAAATACCTTTTATTGGCAAATAAAACAAGTGAACCAAAATGTTTATTTTTTAAGATCAGTCCTATCACAATACATAACACAGATAAAAACTAGAATGCTTGGAATTCTAAATTATACTCTTCACAATTTAACAGACCCCCTTAACCCTCATTTTCAATCAGATTTTTTTTAGAATTAATTGGCTTCATCCCCTTATAGAGCTTGATGTTTACTAAACATTTCAAGTTGATATCATTTTTCGTTTCGTTTTTTTTACTGTTTATATTTCACATTTTTATTTTAATTTATATAACACTTTGAATATCTATCTTCAACTGTGTCTCACCTTTAACTGAAATTTAATTGAGTGACTTCCTCTGCAAACTGCAATACAGCCCATTTATATATAATTGTATAGGCTGACTCTAGATTATTTTCGCTCCCACCATTTATTAGACTGGTGCCTCCGACAATTTCTCGAATATGCATATATCAAATTCGTCATTGTTTTATTGTATACTATGAATGATTCGTTAATACTAGATATAAGCGTAAGGTAAATTCACCAGTAGTTGACACATTAAGAAAATAAAATTGGTTATATTTTTTTGTAGCTCTAGTTTTTAGAAATTACAATAGAGGGAGAGACTATCAAATTACGGGAATTGATTCGATGGGCTCCAAATATAGAATATAAGTCTATAATAGTGAAATAATGGATACATGAACTCCCTGTCTATAATCATTCATCTGCTAAAGTACAATAAACATTAACCATCTACAAAAACGGCAGAATTAAATTCATATCTTAAACGATCATCAGAAGAAACAATATTTGGAGTTTTCAGTTTTTTATTAATCAGACTTGTGTTTATCAATAACACTTAATCCATTTTACTTCATTACAGTAATTTAATGCTGTTACTTCAGTTTCGAACTGGTTAAGGTTGTTTTGAATGATGCACATATACAACACATGAAGTCTTATTCCTTAAACTCGAAGTCACATTGATTTTCTACATAATTTTCTGAATCCGAGTCATTAGCTAGGACATTGAACATTGAAACTAATATCATCCATGCTACTACTGTTTTCCGTTTTTCTTCCTTCTCAGCTAATTTCAAGTCTCTTTTTTTGCCTCTCCTCGGCTCTTTGCAACTTTTGAACCTCTTTATCTTTCTTTTTTTGTTCCTTATTCTCCCAGTACCGTTGCAATGTTTTCAACGTTACTGGCAATTTTTGAGGGTAACTCTTGGCATGTTGTGGTTTTTATATGATTTTGCTACAGGAACACCCCGTGCAACATCTGCAAGGATATTTTGTCTTCACTATATTTCAGTATTTGTCCTTTAATAGGCGGCATCTCTGAAGTTTTTAATATGAATATCGTTCTGTATATTCTGTAACAAAATTCAAAAAAAGTTGGTCTAGTAGTTGACATGTAATATACTCTATTACTTGACATGGGTGTCATCTATTGGTCCAATTCTGATAATCTTCAGAAAAATAGGGTTTCGTTTACTCACCAATATGAATTCATATAAAACTTTCAAAACATAAAAACGTAATCTTGTTTATGAGCCAGTAGTTGTCATTCATGTCAACTACTAGTTTTCACACCTACATTTGAAGGTACTAACATTATCTTTAAGCTAAGTAATTAACAAATTTTACAACACTTATTCATCAACTTTACAAATATTACATATAATTAATATAAAAAAAATAAATTCACCTCGCCTCTTCTTATCAATAGCACTTAAAATTTCTATAAATTTTTAATAAGTACGTTGCACTTTTTGTAAAATGTCGCCATATTGCCCTGACTCGTATTTTCGCCGCGGTTCATAATAAGTTATGAGAAGGAGATTTGAGTAGTTGTTTTGGTCCAATAAAACTGTGTGCAGGTAGAGTTTGAAGCTTATTAATTCGAATAATAGTTTCATGTGTCAGCTACTACTTCTATGTCAACTACTGGTACCTTTACCTTACCACCGTGGTGTTAACTTATTTCCTTAAATATTTTTGATAATCGGACATGTGGGGCTTTAAAAGCCCAAACAAGGCAGAGAGGGACTTAACAAATTAGAGCATGACTGGATTGGTCGGAAATAGTTCGCGTTACAATACCCCTATTATCATTATTGGTAAAAACAATTTCAGATGGTAAAAGTAATTTTAGTTTTTTCAAAATTTGTCATAATTTTTTGACGTTATTTTAATTATTATCAATTTTATTTGTATAGTATTCTGATTTTAAATTTATAAATGTGAATTTCTCGCAAAACTTGACTTAAAACAAAAACCTTAAGTGACTTTTCTAATCTTGAAATTAAACGCAATGTAGTGACCTGTGGAAAATTTGTTTTTTGTCGAATACCTATCTCGGAAACAGCAGATTAAGCTTCAGAATATACAACTTTTTCCCATTGTGATACTAACTGATTACGAGATAGCAATTTTAAGTGGCATTTTAAGTGAAATTCTAATTGAAATCTACGATTACATGGATACGGTTAAAAACAAAAAATACCTATGTGAGAGCTGAACTGAACAAATTAATAATTAACAAACATGTAAAAATTTTTACGACTAACTTCGAGACCATACTCAGTTTAAAAACTATTCCCCGTTTGTTATTTTCATTTCGGTCAAAGCTTATATCCAAACATTCAAGCTTTGGGCAATTTTTATATTCAGTTTTGAAAGCATTAGATTTTGTTCCACCATAACATTATTTGACGTAAACTGTTTTGAAGTTATTCTGGAAACCAATTTTATGCCTGCAAACTTTCAATATTTTATTATTACTTCGAGGTCACCTGGATTGGAAGGCTAAAAAGAAGACCATTATTTGAACTCAGCATTTCGAATATCTATATCAAAAACCATACACCTTTAGGACGAGAGCAAGTTAAGTCCCGCCTCAAAATGAGACGCAGCTTGGTGGGGTGACGCAGCGCAAGTCACGGCGAGTTTTTGTGAACCTAATAAAAAATATAACATGCGCATATTTCTTCGCAGCGTGACGTGACGAAGTTTTGGCGTAAACTGACCCTTCGGAACGCTGTGTAGTTGCCGCAGTTTTTCTCAGAAGATCACGGCGTGTGTTTTGAAAACCATGGAAGAAAAATTAATCAAAGCTGTTTGGATTCGATAAGTTTTGTACAATACAAGTCATGTAGACTTCATGAGGACAAAACTAAAAACTGAAATATGGAAGGAAATCGCTAAAGAAATCAATAAAAAAACTGGTAAGTTTATTTATTTATTTGTACACTGTATATGTATCTCAGTACTTTCCTCTAGCAACACTTTCCCTCTTCCAAGGTACGGCTCCTGCAGAGTTAAAATAATTAGTAAAATTCTGACGAATCGTAAAAGCTTTCTGTGCACTTCGAGTATTGGTTGATTGCAATATCTTCTTTTCCGCAATATCTTCTTTTCTGTCGTCTTCACTTTGAGGTACTGAATAATGCCCTGAATAATTGTGCTATACACAAGCTGCCTTAACAACTTCAATGACACTTTCTACTTTGATCTCAAAATGTGTTCGGAAAACTCGAAAACGCGAAGCAAGTATACCGAAAGCGCATTCAGCCGTTTGGCGCGCTCGCGATAGTCTGTAATTAAAGACTTTGTTTTCATAATTGTCAGTAACACTTCGTTTAGGATAAGGTCGCATCATATTATCAGATAATGGTAACGCTTCATCTCCTACAAACCCATAAGGTATTGGGTCCACAAGTGGAGGCAGTATAGTAGGTGCTGGAAGATGTAAAGTCTGAAGCATTCTCTTTGCTAGAACGCTTGTGCTAAAAACGTTTCCATCACTTAATCTTCCTTGTGACCCTACATCAATAGTGATAAATTTATAATTTGAGTTGACGATAGCCAATAGCACAATTGAGAACGTATGTTTATAGTTGAAATAAGATGATCCACTTTTTGCAGGCTTTTTAATCACCACATGTTTACCGTCAATGGCTCCAATGCAATACGGGATTTGCCATGTTCTTTCAAAACTAACTGCGACTGATTTCCACTTTTCTTCTGATGGTTCTGGCAAATATATCGGTTGCATCAGTTTTTCAAATTGCTTGAGGTACTTCTCGTACTGTTATCACCCATTCTGTAGCTGTAGGCAATACTTTTGTAGCTGTTTCCTGTGGCCAAATATCTGCAATAAAAAAAAAAACATTGAAGGCGATTAGGAATTGTATTTATCTTCTGCATGTTTTAAAAAGCTTTATAAAATTATTTCTTATGTATTGGTATTGATAGAATTTTTAAAGAGTTATTTTGTAAGGCTCTGAAATTAACCATTGTTGTAGAAACTGAAGTAAAGGCATTGTGGGAAAAACTTAGGCATTCATTAAGGGATGTGCTTAGGAGGCAACAAAAAAATTTCAAAAGTGGAGCACCGGTGGAAGCTATTAAAGAATGGAAGTTTCAGAAACAGATGGGATTCCTGCAGACTTACATGGCCAAGAAGAAAACCTTCGAGAAGACGATAGAAATGAAAACGTTGCCCAAGATTCTGAAGAATATGTAACATTTATAGAGGTAGACGATGAAAATGTAGAAGAAGTGAATATACAGCAGCAAGCAACTCAACCACAGAAACTTCTATAAACTTTGCCTCCGAAGGCAGCTGAAACCACATCAAATGCAACCCCAAAATCAGCTAAAAAATTAAAGAAAGATAATGTCACTGCCCAGCTGAAACAAAGCATGGAAAAACTTGAAGAGAGAGCTAAAGCAAGAACGGAAGAAAGAAAATATCACAAGAATTAAAACCTACAGAAAATGATCCTCTATTTCACTTCTTTATGTCACCCTCATATCAGCACATGTTTAAAAACCGTGTGTTCAACGTGGTTTCAGACGTAGAAGCTAGGATACTGACGTTCCTGTCCAACAGCAGCAATTATTCGGACAATTCACTCTTGAGCTCCGCTGATACCCTTGAGGAACAAGAACTCCTATACAGCTGCCAATTCAGATAATCTAATTAACTATATTATTACTTTCACACACATATAATTTTGTTAGTAAAGTTCACTAATGTAAATTAATAAAATACCTTAGAAATACAGCTAGTTACTCTTCAGTTCTAATGGGCCTTGTAGCATTGCATCCTTCTGCGTCAATTTCTTTCTTGATGATCTCATGCACATCTTTAAATTGATCACGGTTTAGCCGAAAATAATTGGTGAACTTTTTATTACTAAATTCTTTAGTTAGGGCAAAGTCTCCATGAGTTTTTGTTTTTTTATGTACAAGCATCTCACTGACTTTTTATTAGCTATCTGGGAGATAAAGGATATCATTTCGAACTCGTTTTCTGAATCAGATTCAGAACTAAATAGAAAATCAATCTGTGCAGTTGCAGTTGTCATTTTTCATTACTGTCCAAGCTTCACTAGTGAATACTACAATCGTATTTTTTGTACGGTCTCGCCGTGACTTAACGCTACACTCACCTCCTGCTGCGTCTTATTTTGCGCCAAACCCGCGCTAGCAATTTTCTCCCGCCTTAAACTCGCCGTGACTCACGCTGCGTCACCTCACCAAGCTGACTGCGTCTCATTTTGCGCCTGTCCTAAGACGTAGTTTGGAGAGGTGAGGTGAGGTGCACTGTGAGTTTCTGTGAAACATAGAAATGAATACAACAGCGAATATTCATATACAGGGTGAATTACTCAGTTTGTAATCATTTCTATGTTTGACAGAAATTCACGGTGAGTTACCTCACCTCGCCAAACTGGGTCTCAACTTGCGCTCGGCCTTAGGCCTTCTTTTTAGTATTTTATAGGTAGTTAAAAGAATAATGGATGACGGAACTTGAAATTTTAAATCACTTGCTACAATCATTGCATTGGTAGGAATATTTGATGTCCAATTTAATAATGTGCAAATTGAGCAATACTTAAGATATATAGCGTTTTTAATTTAGCTTGTTTCCTTTTGGATGATGTTTTAATTTCTTTTTAAATTTTGCCAGTTTCCTTTAAAAAATAGTATTCCTTCTATTTTCTAAAATAACATTCTAGCATTCTAAGATAGATAAGGTTCTCCGTTTTTTATTATTTTTATTTAAATAAATATTTTTTTTAATTTTGACAGTTGTATTTTCATCAAATTATATTCGATAAATTGTACTTTCGAATTTTTCAAATTCGATTAAATGTTTTCTATTATATTTTTTTGACAAAAAGTCCACGACCCACAAAAATACAATATAATTGTTGTTTAAACATTTTTAGAAAGAGTTAAATATTATTTTACCACCATTAGAATCCCTTTATATTTGTACTTAATATGCTTCCCCAAGATTATTCTCCAATCTATTAAATTGTTGAGTTATATCCCATTCCGTATTCTTGTAAGTTTCCGTAAATGGTCTTTTCATCTTGATTTTTGGTCTGCCTGAGAATTTTCATTTCTCTTTGGTTTCGATTTTGTAGCTTTAATATTAGTTCATTTATCCTTCGTTTTCACTTGTGTCAAGTTATATGTTCATAAGTCTATAATTTCTGTTTTTGTCCTTTGCTTTGTTTTTTAAGTTTCACTTGTAGCATGCACCTATCCATTTTTCTCCAAGTAATTCTTAACTTGTTTTTAGTGTCTTCCATAAGGATCCAAGATAATTTAGTAAGTACTGGAATTAATTACCCGAAAACCACCCACCTTAGCTATATTCTCGTTGACAGTTTTCTTTCTTGGATGACTTTATTTTTTACTACATTTCGTATCATAAATGACTGTAGTCGTGTACTACTACTTCCATTGTTTTCCATTGTTAAATTTAATGGGTAATAGCTAGTGTTAGATATCATTTTTGTTTTAGCAATATTCATCTCGAGACCATAATATGCTATAGCAGTTTATCAAAGAGCTAGTAACATTTTTTTTAGATCTTCTATTTATTTCACCAACAAAACGTAACATACTAAAATATTCTCCATTTTAGTTCATTATTCTCTGTTTTTTCAAAGAAATATTCTCAATACATCTTTGAGGGAATAGTTGAATAATAATAAAATTGTTTAATAGCTTTGGTTGTTAAATTCTTTTCGTTTTTTCTATTAGTTAATTTACTGTATGTATATCCATGGTGCTACACCCTTTTCGGGAGCCCACTAGTTTCCTAGGTTGCTTGGCATCTAGGCGACTTGAGATTATATTTTTTCTGCGATGAAGCTAGCGAAATCGGGCGATAGTGTTCTAAAAGAGAAAAATAAGTAATTATTTACTGCAACTAGTTTTTATTTCTTCCATGTTTAAAAAATAGTCTGAAAATGAATACTACAAATTTTAAAAACGCGTTTTTAGAAATAGGACTCATCACAACATCAGCTCTACATACATAATCCATCGCGTAAAACTATTTTTAGTTTGCCCCAGTCAAATATTTACTGTTTGTATAGTGAAATCTCCGATGCGCGGTAGATCAATAATTTATTTGACATTGGAAAACTAATGTTTTATTAAGCTTAATTGTCAAGTGTTTTGTAATTCGTTGTATTTCAGATCCGAATTCAACCATTATTCAAGGTATTCAGCAATAGCCGTACTTATCTCACGTGATCTGATAACAGCACAAAACGTCTTAAAGAAAAGAAAATGGAATAGAAAGAGATACTGTGGAATAGAATCTTAGTGTTTAATAAAGTAACAGTAGATAATAATTACATTTTACAAGATTCTCTGTGAATACTTTTGTAGATTAATTTTAAAAGTAAAGCCATGTATAGATCGAAAAAACAACTTTTCGCAAATGTATATCAGCCAGTGTATAAAATTGTATGTATACATTTTATTTAAAATTGAAAATTATTTATTTTAGATCGATAAGATATTCAGCTACAGCTGAAACTTTAAATTACAATCGACATACAACGATAAATAGTATTGGTAGAATAAGTACTTATGTGTGGTAAAAAATAACCTATTCATTATCCTGAGGATAATAACCTTACAAATATACATCAACTTAGAAATAATAACCCATTAGAAATTCGAGAGACGCTAAAATGGTGGTTCCTACCTTATCGAGACTGAGGCCCACAAGGGTAAACTCGTAGCGTAAAAAAACGAGAAATGATTTAACTTGGACCGAAAGCCGATAGTACTATTAAGACGTTGAATTTTTTGGTTTGTGAAGCATTGGCATTACTTAGGTTAAACCATGTGCTGATTTTCAGAAGCCTTGATTTTTAAAACCATTGTATATCGTCTTTTGATTAGGGTTTACAAACTCGTTCGAGCAATTTATATAATAATAATTGGCCCCTTTACCTCTTAAGCCTACTCATGTAAAATATTTGGGCTCCTTACTTCGCCTATTTATCTAAAAATATTTATTTATGATTATGTTTAGTAATCGTAATTATAGATTGCAATCCTTTCTGAAATAATACCAAATTACAAAAATTCAAACTGAGGAATAATTAATTACTTGTACCAAAAACAAGTCGAGTATGTAAAATTGATTTTAATATTAAACATTAGGTATATTTAAAGTTCTATTCTATTTACCTCAATAAATGGTTTAGAAGTCTTAGAATTCCACTGAGTATTTGTTTGTTTGTTAATGTTAAAAGGTTCATAAAATATTAAAATCACAGTAAAACCGTCACTCGCTTAACCTTGAAATAACCAAATGCGCACCGATTCAATTAACCAGAAAAAAATTATATTAATGACTTTTGTAATTATTTTTAAATTACATATGTAAAGAATTGTTAAAAATAAATATTAAAAGAAGCATACAAACATTTTTAAATAATTTGACATTTAAGATCAATTCATATATCACGTTCACAGTTGACAACTTGATACTTGACAGGCATACCCAAGCATTATTCTGATTTTTGCCCAATAAAATGGCTGGTTAATTATTCTATGGGGTTGTGACAGAAAGCTAGTAAATTTGATGTAGGTGTCACTTTGGCTAGGGGCGAAATAGTAGTAAGCTTAAGTTAGCAACACCATAAAAAAGTAATTTTTAAGAAACTGTTTATATATTTTCATGAATCGGCAGGCTTGGCGACTACTATTTAAAAATAGCCTTGAAAATGGCTATGGTTGCAACTATAAAGGTCGCAACCCTCCTTAGAAATCTCACCTTATAATCAACAGCTGTTGTTTGACAGATCGTTGGAGTGCCTATTTTTGGAATATTTGCAATGCATGGAATGTTAGACGTTAGGATTGATTGGAATGCGTAAAATAAGTGACATAAGAAATGTATGGGCGGATTTTAAGAACATTGATATTAAAGGAGTTAGGATGAACCGAAAATTCTGAAAATCAATAGGGTTCTAAGTTAGAAGCAGTTATTCAAGAAAATCAAAACCGCAAGTGAATCAGAATTTTAGTTCTAAGTAATCGTGTAATTTGTTTTTTGCATTTTCGGACTCCGAATGATCGGAAATGTAAAAAAAAGTTTAAAAAAATGGGGGTAAGAAAATTGCTTCGTCTACACGAATGCAATACTGAGGCCCCATAAGAAGGGTCTCAGTAATTAGAAACTAATTTAAAAATTAC